TGAATAACTGAAAAAGAAGTCCTTTGTAAGGTCCACCATGCACAGGAGCTTCTTGTATCTAAGCCAACAAAGAAGCAGAAAACACCCAATTAAGAACTCAAAAAGTCCAGTCCAGGCTACAAAATTAGAAAGAAAACACAAGAACAAATTTCTCCTTTCGCAATGTGAAAATGCAATGGTAACAATGCAACACTATATTATTGTGTTTATTATCACTATCATGGATGAACTTTTTTCCTGAAATGAATATATTCAGGAACAAAAGAGGCAGAATCATCGGGGGAATCAACACTTTCTACTTCACACATTAAGGAACAGAGATCTTTCAGTATAATATTTATAACTTCCTATAGTCAGACAAAAGATAAGAACATGCAGGATTTGCCAAGTACCTGTTCTCATCCTTAGAATTTGCAATACCAGCACAAACAGATGAATTTGGAAGTGGAATCATCTCACTCTTGGAAACTGCATAAACATTGTGACCGCAAATTGCACCTATCTGCCTTCTTTTTGTAATAAGTAACATGTAGTAAGGCCCCAAAAATTTAATAAACCCTAAAAAACAACCAAAAAGAAAGGAGAGAAACAGCATGAGTATGTACATAATATCTAATAAACAATTAAAAAGTCGTGATGAATTTCACTACACCCACCAACAATCCCATAACAGGTTGTCACGAATTTCAATCCCCCAGTGGATTTGTTTCCTTCATGTATGCGCCTTAATATCTCCGAACATTCACTCTTTGAATATGTGGTAGAATCTTCACGAATGTTTAATTCCGAGGGATCAAGACGGTCAATCTTTAGCACTCTCCAATGAGTTCTAGATTTGTCCCTTCCTATCATGTAAAAATTCTGTAGACAATGTAACCAATCCGTTAAGTTGCTATAAAGTGAACTGTTTAAACAACGAGCAGAAGTTTGAACACAATGCATCAATGCGCGATCAGCTTCAAACAAACGAGTGCAAATGCATAAACTGGAACCTAATTTGATAGTTTTTCATTATACTGCATCAATTTGAACAATATGAAAAACGAAATCAGAGCTAATTCAACCAAAAACCTTACATCACTCCAACATTAATTTAACAATAAAAGTTGAAGAGATCAAAGCAGCAAAAAAAAAAAAAAAAAAAAAAACT